TGCAGGATGTGTGTGGGCTTGAACTGATTTGTCAAAAGCAAAGAAAACAATTTCACTAATGGGTGTTTGCTGAAAAATGAGCATGATGTCTTGGCAATTTTGTGCTGTCTTGTGCTCTCTCTTCACTGTCACTCCTCGAGTGAGATGGAGAGGAGACACCTCTGTCTTCCACCTGCATTTTACTCCTTTGGCCTCAGGACTAACTCAGCCTTGCCGGATCCCAAACAGGTCATGCAGAGGGCTGAGAATTGTGTTTGAAACATCCTCCTCCTTCAAAAGCACCTGCCTGACTCCTCCAAGGTGTTTTCTCCGTCCTTGTGGCTGTAGCTCCTGTGACCTGCAGCGCAGCCGCGGTGGGGAAGGTGAACACCGGTGCCCACGACAGCAGCTCAGGGCACAGACAGTGCCATCCCCTCCCTGCTCCCCCGTGTTCCTGCTGCCAGCACTCAGAGCATGGAATTGGGGAGGTTTAGCACCATTTAGGAGCTGTGACTGGGCAGTGTTGCCGGGGCTTTCACTGGAGCACGGCGGCACAGGAAGGGTTCTGTCACTGACAGTGGGATTCCCTCCACATGACGTTTCTTCAGCTGCTGATTCACAAGTACATCACTTAAATGACTTTTTTTTTTCCTTTCCCATTTGGGAAGCTCCTCTAAACTTCCCTCATCCTCCGCCAGAGGAGGCCTGGCAGGAGGCCGGGAAGATGAAGAGCAGAGTCTCTTGCAGCGTGTTCCAGCGATATTTCAGTGATACCACTGCAGATGTAGCAAGTCCCGAGTACTCCAGGCCAATAACCTCAGCTCTCCCTGGTTAAGCTGTGCTCAGTGCTGCAACTGCAGCTTTAGAAAACTAACACCTTTTTTTTACTGGATTCTGCTAGTCTGGATTCAGCAGAATCTCTGCTTGAGATGGAGTTACTTGAGTAACTTTAAAAATAAAAAAATGTCATCGGCCAGAACATGAAAAATACAGGTGTAAATACTACCCTGGATCTGGTAATTACTTGAAATAAAGCACAATTCTCAACCAGATCATCTGTTTTCCCAAACTAAGCAGGACTGCCCTTCCACCTGGCACCAGAGAGCCAAAAAAACAGCAGGAGAGGGATTTGTATCAAATCTGGTATCAACAAATCACTCCCAACTGCAAAATCTTTATGTATAAGTTAGGAAATGGTTTCAAATTTTAAACAGTCTCCAGGCAGGCAATTAACATCATTAATTGAACAAAATTCAGTCAAAATAATTGATTTAGACTTAATCTCAGAACCTGAGACTTCTCAAGGTGTATCTTCACCCCCTACACAGCCGTGCTGAGGATCCCTGTGTTGGGCACATTATCCCTCCCAGTTCTCAGGAATCACTGCAAACACTCGAGTAGTGAATATTAAAGTGGTCAATCCTGGAGTGGTTGCCATAAAAACAAGAGGACAAACAATAACTTAGACAAGAGCACACTGAAAAGGACACGTAGGAATAAACCACTTTTCCTCAATTAAGAGTTCCTGATATCAGGGTGCTGTGGGCTTTTCTCTCTCCAACACTTGAATTTCCTGCAGCTGAAGAATTTCAGTTCTTCGTTTTAATGTGTTGGGGGCTTTTTTTAGGCTTTTGATAATTCTCCTGTGACAATTTAAACTATCTACCAGGCATCATCATGCTTTGCAGTGCAGACTAAGAAATGAGCTCTTTGTTGGGGGACGCTTTATCCATGTGAAGTATCCAGGATGATTTATTCTTATGGGACATGTGGGCAAAGTGACATTTTCCCATCTTGTGCACTCTAAACACAGGGCTGCAGTGAAACCAAAACCACCAGCATCACAATGTGGTGAGCCATCAGCTTCTCCACAGCGGCTGTTTATTGGGACCTGCCTTTTTTATTGAGGGGGAAAAAAAAAAAGAGGATCTGGAAACAATCCATCTCAGCCCAAATTTTTTTGAAGGAGTTGTTTTAATTTGCTCCAGAGAAAGCTGTCTGTGTGTAAAGTCACCGATCTGCTGATGAGTAATCAGGGAGCTTTTGTGTTTTAATATTTTGATGTTTAAGGGAGGCTGACAGAATAAATCCGCGTTCTGCACCGGTTGGAGTACAAAGAGCAAAGGAATAAAAGTACAACAAAGAGCAAGTAACTAAAAGATACTAAAAAGGACTAAAACCACACAGCTCATCCTTAACTGAGTGGTGCTGGAGGAGTGTAAAGCCAAGAGATGATTCCTACTCCAAGAGCTGGAGGCTGCTCTTTCCAGTAGACCCTGAACAACGAAATTTAAGAGTTAAAACCCACAAAGGAGACAGGACTTCAAAGAGATCCTCCCCCCTCCATTTACATTTGGGTTTTAGGTTTGTAAATGAAGCCACCTAGAGATTTAGGAGTGGTGTTAAGGAAATGGAAGCGTAGGAAAGGTGCGGGGCATCCAGAACCAGGAAATTTCTATGGAAATGCTTGGCTGCTAACAGGATTTACGGGTATCTCCTTGCTCTAATGGATCCTTCTCTTCCACATAATTTCATTACACGTTGCCTGCTTTTCCTGAGTAGTCCCAGCATCCCTGAAACTTGTGGATTCAGCGGAGGAAGGGGGGTTTTTTGGCATCAAAGTGTTGCACTGCAACAGCAGAGAGGATCAACAGCTCCACATTTAAAAGGTGGCAAACTGGGAACCGGCAGAGCTGGAGAGAGGAGCTTGTACAAGGCAACAATCTGGAGCAGGCAGAGGAAGTGAGAGGCCTTTAACTGCTGGGCAGAATCGCCCCAGCCCGTATCTAATGAACCACACGGTATTTACTGGCCGTGTTTGTGTGTCAGCAGACTCGCTTTCCCCTCCTGTTTTTTCCTATTTTTTTTTTTTGTGGCTTGCATATGTTATGCATTTTTAGTGTTGTCTGGTTAAATAATTTAAGTATTAAACAGCAGATCCCAAAGCCCTCTCAGCCTGGAGACGTCCTTCAGCCGACTCTAATGGGAATGAGTTTTACCCCTTATTGAAGTTTTCGGGCAGGGAGGTGAAGAGCAGCGCATCCACGCCTGGGACAAAGGATAACTCAGCGCATCCTGAGCAGGGAAAGGTTGGGCTCGGTGACCTCAGAGGTCTTTTCCAACCTGACGGATCCTGCGATTCTGTGAAAGCACCACAGGTGTGCGAGCTGGACCCGTTTCCTCAGTTTTTCCACCCAGGAAACGCGAGCCCTTCCCCAGCCGAGGAGGAGGCGGCCGGGCTCCCCCGCAGCCTCGGCAGGCAGAGGGCAGCAAAGGAGCCTTTTCACTTTTTTTTCTTTCCTCTCTCTCTCTCTCTCTTTTTTTTTTTTTTTTTTTTTGTTCTCAGCCCCGTTGCAGTTGGAGCTTTCCAGCCCGATTGTGCTAAAACGCTTCTGTACCAGCGTTCGCGTTTACCAGCCCGGCCTCCCCTCCCCCTCAGCCCGCTCCCAGCCCCCGGATCCAGGGATCGCCCCCCATCCCAAGGAACACGGGAGGAATGGGGTTGTTTAGAGGGTCGCTGCCTCCTCCCTCCCTCCTTGGGTGAGGGTCTTTTCGCCCCCCACCCACCCCATTGCGTTCTCCCCACCCCTCAGTTTTGGGGGTGCTGAGGGGAGCTCCCCGCGTTGTGAGGGAAAAGGGGGGTCTGCCCCCCACTCCGCCGGGTTTTGAGGGAAAACTGTGGGTTTTCACTCCCCCCACCGGGTTATGAGGAGAAAACGGGGGGTCTGCCCCCCCCCTCCCCCAGCCTGCACGGCGGTTACGAAGGAGTTTATCCCTCACTTCTCCCTGCTCCATCTGCACAGGGACTGAGGGGAGGTGGGGTTGCTTGAGGGGTGTCAGCGGGTTCGGGGGGTGTCCGGGCATGGGGAAAGGGAGCTATGACGTG